ATCAAATTTTGTTTTTTTCAGATGATAATATAAAGAAGATAAGCTTGAATTTTTTTTTTTAAGTCGATTCACTCTTTGTTGTAATGTTCTAATTTTTCTTCTTTGTTTCAAGATTTTAAGTTTTATTACAGCATAGTTTTTTTTTTTTGTACGTTTAGGTGTACTTAGAACAGGAGTTGCTATGTCACCATCAAGACGATGGCTCATTTTGGATTTTGGTAGTTCTTAAATAAAAAATTTTAAATCAGTATAAAATATAATATCATAGAAACCTTGTTCCCATAACAATAAAGGTAATACAAATAATCAATTAGTATACCTAGAATGTTCTGAATAAGTTCAGTATTTGACAATTTCTGAATTTTCATCTCTGAACCAGATTTTTCACACTCAACTGCTAAAATAAAATAATTTTATACTAATCTTTTATTCATACAATTTGAATATTATTCTTACTCTGGGTAGACACATTCATTTTCATCTCTGAATCAGACTTTTCACATTCAACTACTAAAATAAAATAATTTTATACTAATCTTTCATTAATGAAATTTGAATATTATTCTTACTCTGGGTAGATACATCATTTTTCATCTCTGAACTAGACTTTTCACATTCAACTGCTAAAATAAAATAATTTTATATGAATTAATCTTTTATTTAGAAGTATTATAAATGATACTTACGTTTTTTAGCAGATACTATATGATTAGTAATCTCTTCATCATTTACTACTAGTAATCTGTTACAAGAAAAATTTTGATTGTAGAAATAAAAACAATACAAATGTCTGTGAATTCATACTTATTAGGTTTCACACCAAAATCAAAATTTGAATTTTTTTCAAATTTTGTTGGAATGGCATTGTCTTTTAATAATCTTCTTGACTTAGTGATTTTGTAAGAACTTTCATCAAAATGTAGTGAGCATAGTTTACTATGCGGAAAAAATTTTTCATGAGCATATCCACAACCTTCTAGCCAAATTTTGCGGAGTGTTAAGTCATTTGGGAAACTAAAAATTAAATGTTGAGTTTTAAACATCATTGTGTTGTTATATATGGATTTTATAGGTACTTATTATACATTGTGTATGCTCAGGGCGGTCCGACCAGCGGCCCTCGATAATTAGCTAATCTTTTTTTTTGCCAACCCTCCCTCCCAGAATACTGATATTAAAAATGTCACTATACAATATCGGAAGTCGGTCTTTTCGCTGCCTAATAATAATGACTGCGAGTTTTCCTGACCTGAATACTATTCACAATCATTTTGTATATCTTTACATAAAATAAAAAACAATAATACCATTTTTCTATTTTGGCGGCCCCGGTGTTTTTATAAAAGTGTAAATTCTCCAGCCAACTACGAAAGGTTGGACCACCCTGATCCGTGTAATCTGATATATTATTTCAAGTTATTATTTACATTTCGAATTTCAATAGGTAACTAACTTGTGTAATGTTAGGCCTGGCACTTTGGCTGATGTGGCCTGGCAAAAAAAACAACACCTCCGGTGCATGTTTAACTGATGTGATTCACAGTGATTTTAATTTTTTTTTCTTTTTAAATTTCACAATAGTATGCACAGACTAAAGCACAATGAGCATGTTATTATATGATAAGGGCCATACCTAACACAATTGCTTGATAAGATAATATCCACTAGTAGCACTATAATTTTAATACTTAAATATATATGGAATTGCGAGTTCAGAATTTCAAAGTTGACAGTCGTCTTATTTGTCTTTTATCAATGGCAAAT